CCCCAAAACCCCAAAACCCCAAAACCCCAAAACCCCTGAACAATATATAATAATTGAATCCTTATTCAGTCATTTGCTACTTGTGACCATGGCCTCTTCTAAATTCTTGTTATTCATTGTCTTAATTGTAGCATTATTGTCTTTAGCAAATGCTACAGAGATGTTAAAAATTGAGCAGCAGCTCAATCACAACACCCAAGAGCCACTAGTTGTTGGTGGTAAAGAAGAAGCCATCAAATCTGAAGAAAATATCCCTGAGGAAAATATTACTCAGGGTGAGGCATACCTGAGGGAATGTGCAAACAAATTTATCAATAGTTGAGAACAACTTTCCCACTGCAGACAAGTTGTTTGCCCAAGCGAAACACTTCAGGAGGTAAGTGGAACTCATTCCTATTGAATTTTATATGCCTTATTTTTAGTATATCAGCTCAACAGTTCATATAGTATGCCTGCCTACCCAGAGGTCACCAGTATTTACCATTTAAGAGAGCTGTATGTCACAGAGAGTATAACAAACCTGAACAAATTCCGACAATTCAAGAGAATGTCAAAGAGCCCAAACCAAGGTCTGGATTTGTACTACTAATGTTTATTCCTGCCCTAGCAGTCATACTATTTTACATATTCGGAAACATAACGGTAAGTTGAGGACTCTTTTGCTTCATTTGAGTGATTAAAATTATTTCACATCTTTCTTAAAATTCTTTAAAATCTTACTTCGTGACATATTTTGCCTTGTTTTCAAGAAGTTTCAAAGAATTCCTATAGTCAGTCGAAGGTCAGACTTTAGTATTTTCAGATATCGAGATGGATCCATTCCAATATAAAGAATACTTGAAGAAACCAGAATACGGAGACTACTACGCCCTTGATGAAACTATCGACTCGTTTAACGCTAGGCTGGCATACTAAAAAACATTAGCCCTCTTTAAAATGGCAAAAAAGTTGAATTTACTCGTTTTCAATTTTGGATGGTTCAACAGGGGTTTTGGGGTTTTGGGGTTTTGGGGTTTTGGGGTTTTGGGGTTTTGGGGTTTTGGGG